ATATATATATATATATATATATATATATATATATATATATATATATATCTTATTGGATGAGATTCGTTTCATAATATGTAGCTTAAACTGTTGCCATGTTTGATGGCTCCATGACTTTGGGCCAAATGATGGTAGTAATAGCCTTTAACAGTGCCCCTTGGTGCTGGATTCCACAAAGAAGCATTTTTAAATGCTTTGGCACTAGAGCTGGTCTCGACCAGAATAAGTTCACTCAGTCAGCTGACAGTGAGGCAGCTTTATGAAAGCCAAATGACAAGAAAAAAAATATAAATAAATAAGCCAGAACTTGACCAACTATGCCAGTTTTATGAAAAACCCCTCTGGGTGAGGAGAATGAGCACCAAACATGCAGATGGGCTGAAGGTGGCTGTTAATAATGTGGGTTTCTGGAACTGTAATTTCCCTCTGGGATTATCAAAGTATGTCTGATTCTGATTCTTACAACAACTGAGTTTTAGTTTTTAAACTAAATTACTAAAAAAAATGATATTCCAGCTTAGACATTTCTAAACCTTTAGACCAATCCAGGCTTGTTTTTAATGTTTATTTTCTTACATCATATTCAATTTTGTATTTTTTTTTTATTATTCCTCCAAGTTACACAACTTCAGCTGGTTTCTAGTTTGTTGTGGCCCAGTTTGCTCATGGAGGCTTAACTTTGCATCCATAATACAGGCTTTAATCAGAGTCAACCATCCTTTCCCCTCTGATTTAAGCCTGTTTATTGGTTGTTTATTTGATGACAGAATTAGTAAAGACATTTTAACTTTGTACTTTATTTTCTGGAATAATCTTTTTAGTGCGTTTTGCCACTCTTCCACATATTAAATGAATGCTATCAGAACCGTATAACATTGAAAACTAACCAATTTATCCGAACTCTTTAGTGTTTAAGATAGCAGCTTGACTGAAGGTTTTAGAGATAAAAATTAAAGCTAAATCTGCAGCAGCTCATGTCTTCTGGAGATTAAGTGTAAGAACTGAACATGGTGATAAAAAAGGGATGTATAGACAAATCAATGTGAGACTTTTAGAACCATAAAACAGTATCCACTGTCAAGCATGGTGGTGGGAGCATTATGTTGTTTAGCCATCTTTTCGTTAGAGCCACAGGCCTCCAAGATCTTTAACTTCACCTAAAGTCAACAGTGGAAGGATTAAAATTGAATATTTCCATTGATCTTAAGTTCATATCAGAAGTGGCTCGTCTTCCTAAACCCCACCAACGTAGCGTTATTGATTCTGCCATGATGCGTCAACATTCAACTAAATTTACCCTCAAGTTACTCAGGATGTCTGAGTTGCCGCTAACGGTAGCAGGAAACTGCAAGGGATTTGAATTGAATCAGATAAAAACACTGATGCTAATCCAAGTCCCCGTCTGGTGATTTTAACAGTTTCTAAAACAAACATCAGGACCTCCCAAGAAGCCCATTTCCAAACCTTTTGAATGATCTATCTGGACCTGATGGATAGAAATACATGGTGTGGAACCAAGGCACCTTTTCTCTAGAACAAGCTGACAATAACAGTTAAACACAAAGGAGGTGGGGTTTCATAAAAGCCTGAAAATCGTATCCATTCTGCATTTTTCACAAAAAGCCCCATCACACCTTCTTTAAGATCATGTCTGATAAGTCTCGTTATTTATGCTACATCACAAATACAAGGTGCAGATATTACCGTTTAGAGTGTCACAGATACACTTTTATTAAATAGTTACTTTCTCCCTATTTGTGCTTTTTCTATCAGTGCACTTTTAATCTGCAGGCACTAAAATTTTAAGAATAGCAAAAAGTTGTGCAAACTATTTTCCCATTTAGTGTATTCACCTCTTAAAGCGGAAGAAGGGGAAAGCTGAAGGATGCTCTGCTGTGATTATCTGGCCCACGCTGATTTTGGAGATTAAATAGATGTGTAACCAGAGGCTTCATTCTGATGGGTTCCTATTTCTATTGATCGTCACTGAACCCACCTCTGCAAACTCAAAGACCAACAGCAATAACTCCAGCAAAGATTCAGAAAATAGTCTTTATCTGTCATAAATATCTTGGGATGATTGACAGACTAATGAGACAAATCGCGTGGTTGAGATCAGCAGCATTTTACAACAAAGAGTACAATCACATTCATGTTGTAAGAGCACATCTGTTCATTTTGGTATGTAACTAACCAAACAGCGCCGACCATTCAGGGTATTTGTGCTGGCAAATATTATGAATGATCCGTAGAACTGCTGGAGCCCCGAGAGGTGACGTCCGTGCACGTCGACACAGTGCGAGCAGGTTAGCGGGCTGGTTATGTACCCTCTCCCCAGGCTCAGGCCTTGTCTCCTTCCTGGGGTAGACTGCTGTACTCGCAGCCAGGAGAGCCATCGGTTGTGGGTTTTTTCGCCGGTTCCGGCTGAGCTGAAAGCCGACCCTGCTTGGCAGCCTTGCTCTCTTTTTTATCCAGCCAGAGGAAGGAGAGCATCAGGAACAAAGCGGAGGAGGCAACAACGGCACTGCAGGCAATAAAGACGTAGAAATACTGTTTGGTTCTGTCCACCAGGATTCCTGTAACAGAGGAAACAAAGTTCAGTGTTGCAGCTCACTGCAGAACCAGAAACTATAAGCTGCCTAACATTTGCACCTCATCAGTGACTCTGAACTTTCCTTCCTAGTAGCCATCTTCTTGCACAATGAAATGTTTTTTCCCCTCCTGATTCAACACTTGAGCTTCCTGGTTTCTCCATTAAAGGAAAATTCCGGTTTTTAACACTTTTAGCCCATTTTCTGTAGTGTCCAGGATGAAATCGAATGATCGACACCAAAATTTTGAC